TGGTCTCCCTACCAACTGGACAGGTACTTGTACCCTCGTCTACTTTACCCCGAACATTAACCTTGTCTCTCCAAACCAAAAACTCCCTGTCCTTGCTACATTACATGCCTGTTCAAAAAGAGCAATACAGTTCATTCCCTTATTAGTAGACCCTGGAGTCACAACTACTGTCAAGTTAGAAGCAGGAAGCCTAGGAACTTCATTATCATACTTCCAGTCACTCTTCGGAGACTTCCAATCATCACTAGAATAAATAGCAAACTCTTATCACTCACCTCCAAAACCAACTAGACTCTGTAGCAGTAGTCATCCTACAAAATCAGAGGCCTAGACCTCCTCACTGCTGAAAAAGGAGGTCTGTGCCTCTTAAATAAACAATGCTGTTTCTACCTCAATGAATCTGGGCTAATATGGATGCTATCGAAAAGCTCAAAGACCGAGCACAAAAACTTAAATTCTACTCAGCCCCAGTGGTTCCGTAACCCCTGGGCAACCTGGCTACTGGCCCTCCTAGGTCCTGCCATAACCCTTTTCTTCCTTCTAGCATTTAGTCCCTGTCTCTTACGACTCCACACCCAGTTTTTACAGGACTGTATTAAAGCTTTCGCCCATGGGACAATACAAAATATGATGCTGCTCCAAGAATACTAACAGCTCCAGGAACAACAATCCCTACTATCTAGCCTCCCTCAGCCCAAACGTCGAGCGTGGCCCCTATCCAGCAAGAAGCATCCAGAAGACAATGGCGCCCTCTTCTATTAACTATTAAAAGGCTGGCCTGTTAGGGGCAGCTGACTGTGATTGCTCTGCAGCTGCATTCCTATCTAGGCACCACAGCAAGGCTGCCAGATACACTACGATTTAGCAAAGCCTGATTACAGGCACCTGGGCAGCGCCGCCGGGGAGGTCATGGAAAACAAAACTTTAAATTCCTGTTTTACACATACCTGTAAAATCCTGTGTTTTTTAAACTGCCACCACAAAAGTCACTAGATGATGTACTGTAAGTCTGTCACAAGCTGACAAACTATCTTTGTGCCTGCTACAAGCTGACAGATTAGCTCAGTCCTGAAACTCCCTTATGTTCCTCTCGTCCTATATAAACTCCTTGTTTTTTAGGCCCAGGGCTGTCTCTTCTCATTGTTAGTGAGCAGTTCAGCAGATTAATAAAACGTGTTTGCCTGACGTAGGGCCTATTGTCTTTTCTCTCGGCTAACCTTACAATTTTAACTACTCTAGCTACCTCACATAAGTGGAATCATTTAGGCCGGGCATGGTGGCTCATTCCGGTAATCCTAGGACTTTGAGAGGCCAAGGCAGGTGGACCACGTGCAGTTAGGAGTTACAGACCAGCATGGCCAACGTGATTAAACCCTGTCTCTACTAAAAATACAAAAAGCCGGGTGTGGTGGCAGGTGCCTGTAATCCCAGCTAGGCTGAGGCACGAGAATTGCTTGAACCTGGGAGGTGGAGGTTGCAGTGAGCCGAGATTGCGCCACTGCACTCCAGCCTGGGCAACAGAACATGACTCTGTCTCAAAAAGCAAACAAAAAAAAAACAGTGAAATCATTACTTGTCCTTTTGTGACAGGCTTATTTCAGTTCATCCATGCTGTAGCATGTGCCAGAATTTCCTTCCTTTTTAAGGCTGAATAATACTTCCTTGTATGTTTATACCACATCTCAATTACCTATTGGACCCTCCATTGACACTTGCTTCCACCTTTCAGCTTCTCTGAATAATGCTTGGTGAATATGGGTGTACAAATACCATTGGGTCCCTGTTTTCACTTCTTTTGGGATATACTCAGAAGCGGAAGTGCTAGATTATATGGTAATTTTATATTTAATTTTTTGTTAAGAGACAAGGTTTCACTCTGTCACCCAGACTGGAGTACTGTGGTGGGTTCATAGTTCACTGCAACATGAACCCCCAGGTTCAACCAATTCTCCCACCTCAGACTCCAGAGTAGCTAGGACTACAGGCACGTGTCACCATGCCCAGCTAATTAAAAAAAAATTTTTTTAGAGATGGAGTCTTGCTCTGTTGTGCAGGCTAGCCTCAAATTCCTGGCATTAACTGATCCTTCAGCCTCACCCTCCCAGAGTGTTGAGATCACAGGTGTGAGACGTGTGCCTGGCTTTTATTTAATTTTTTGAAGAACTGCCATACCATTTTCCACAATGGCTGTACCATTTCACATTTCCATTACTATATCTCATATACTGTGCTAATACTTAGAGATAAAAGAGTGAACAAAATCAGATACAGTTAATGCTCCAAAGGAACTTGGCATATTATAAATGGGTGGATATATAATATAGATTATATGTGGATGTCATCTTTATATGACAGTAAATGTGGTAGCAAATAAGCAAAGAAGAATTTTTCTGTTACGGAGTCCACAGAAAATTGATTAAGAATCAATTAATATAGATTTTAATGACACAATGCTAATCATATCTTCAAGTTAGTAACTTAAGAGGTAGCACAACACCTGGTCTTAAGAACCTGGTCTCTGGAGACTAACTGCCTGGGTTTGAATCCTGTGTTGCTTCTCACTTGCTTGAAAGCTCAGGCAAGTTACTATACCTCTCTGTGCTTCAGTTTTCAAACCTATACTGAAGAAAATAATTGTGAGGATTAAATAAGTCAATAAGCACATGTCCCAGGCACACAGTCAGTGCTCAATACACATAAGCAATTTTGTATTATTAACAAGGCAGCTCTACCAGTCATCCAATGATACCATTATTAAAATTGGCATTTAAGCATTTCTTTTTGTGAGAGCTTTCGAGAAAAGTTCAATGTCTAATTATTCTGAAACAGCAAAATACCTTGAAGTTACTGATACCATTCTATACAACATATTTACATGAACAGGCTGAGAAATCCTGAATTAGAGTAATGCTCATTTGAATATATTGATTTGGTAGTTTTGTTTACTTTTAATTTATATTTGATTTTATAGTTGTTTAACAGCATTATGCTTGAGTTTATACCTAGCCTAAGTATATATTCAATATTATAATAATTTTCATCAACACTTGGCACTCATGACAACTGTTCCCTTTATTCAAATGTAAAAGACACTGCTCTGCAAAAAGTATGTAATATCTGCTGTCTCTGTCTTCTTTTCTTCCATCAATAGCTAAACACTTGCTATATGGCAGAAAATGTGCTGTGGTCTTTGCTCCCATGGGCAACCCATGAGGGAGAAAGATTTATAAACAGGTAACAATACATTATAAATTGTGACAAATTGTATAAGGGAAATAAACAAGTTGATAGAGAATAATGGCACTAGGGGAGGATGCTTAATTTAAAGATGTGGCCAAAGTTTTTCTGATAAAGTGACTTTAAAGCTGAGACCTTAAGGATCAAAAGCTAGAAAATACATGTTTGAGAATTTTTCATAGGAAAGAAAGGCAGGGAAAAGATGAATTACTTGTGGCTGTCTCCCCCACCCATCCCCTAGCTATCTTTCCCTTACTGTGTTATCTCTTTTCATTTTGGACAATCAGGCACACACATACTTCCTGAATACTATCCTCCTACATGTCTGGCACTGTATTAAGTTCTATGGAGAGAGTGAAACATCGACTTAGTCTTCAAAGACCTACAGGTCAAAAGTAACAATTCAAACTCCACCAGGCAAATCTTCACCTCACTTATTTTTTTCAAAAATTCACATAGGCAAGGTGTGGTGGCTCAAGCCTGTAATCCCAGCACTTTGGGAGGCTGAAGTGGGCAGATCACTTGAGGTTAGGAGTTCAAGACCAGCTTGGCCAACATGGTGAAACCTTGTCTCTACTAAAAATACAAAAATTAGCCGGGAAAGATGGCAGGTGCCTGTAATCCCAGCTACTCGGGAGGTTGAGGCAGGAGAATTGCTTGAACCCGGGAGGCGGAGGTTGCAGTGAGCCAAGAGGGTGCCATTGCACTCCCGCCTGGGCGACGCAGTGACTCAGTCTAAAAAAAAATAAAAATAAAAAAAAAATTCACCTAAACTCCCTAACTCCAAATACAGATTCATAAATAATAACAAAGGAATCTGTTTGATTTGCAGGTTTTATAGACTAAGAATGTATCTTTTCTGCTCTTCCAGTCTATATTGCAAATTCTCCTAGGAACAGGCATGCCTTCATGATCAGTTGGACCTAGATTTCAATCTTGCTATTACCAGGACTAGCCAGCATAAAGTTCTCTGGGCTTCAGTTTGATCGTTTGTTAATCGGTAGAAACAATACCTAAGTTACTAAATTATTGAGAGCATTAGATAACATTACTGGAAGCAGAAGCAGGTAAGAGTAGTTCAAACACTGAAGCCAGACAGGCTTGGGTTCAAAACTAAGCTCTTTTAATTACTAGCTATGTGATCCCGGTAGTTATATAACATTCTAAACCTAGGTTAATCTGTAAAATGGATATAGGCAGTTGTGAGTATTAAATAAGATAATGTATATATGGACCATCATACATTCCTGGTTACACGAAGGTCCCCTTCCAAGTTCTTTACCTAGTGCAGAAATTTCCTGGTAAAGGAGTAATGAGGGAAACATCACACCCTCTCCATTTCATTTCTTCATTCTGCAAACTTTACTTAACGCTTTCCATGTGTTTGGGAGCTGTGTATTTGGAGCTGTCCTTCAAAACTCAAACAATGCATGCGTGAAAATAAATAGGAGGAAGTGCCTCCCACACTTCTATGTCATTTCCCAGCAACTGTCACTCAGACACCTCGACCTCAGGCCCTTTCCTCGTCCCGCCAGAGGCTGGGCTCTTCGAGGTCGGCCCTCCGTTTTCCAGCCTAAGCCCGGCCTCTCTAGGCGTCACATCAGCGATCACCCTAAGGGACTGCCCTCCAGTCACCTGCCCAGGGACACGCCCCCAGCCCTGCAGGTCCCGCCCGCTAGGTCCCTCAGCCTCATCCCCCAGGCGCTGGCTCAGGTCCGCCGCTCCAGCTCTTACTGGTTCCCGCGCTCTGCGCCGGACAGTACCTGCAGGCCACTCCGCTTGTTCCAGGTGAAAATGGACCCAGGGTACCCGCTCAGAGCCAAGAGCAGTTCGTGGATCATTCCCGCAGCCGACCTCGAGTCCCTGGATACGTCACCCCCTCCTCCAGCGCCCCTCCAGGCGACCACGAGGGGAGTGCTCCCCTTTTCACACTCACACCGGCCCCTGGGTCGGGTGGTTTGTACGGAATCAACCCGCTGAGACAATCAATGCGGCAGAGCGGACGGGAAGCCGGGAAGGGGTCACGGTCGAGTCCCGGAAGTTCGGCGGCTGTACGGGGCCCACCCGCTACTCCCGCCCCAACTCTGCAGAGACCTAGTCGCGGTCGCTGCCGTTGCGCATGCGCCCTCGGCGCCCCGGGCCGCCTGCTCGGACTTCCGGTTTGGGAGCTGTACTTAGTGGCTGGAGAGCTGGAGCTGGGGCCTGGGCGGGACCCCGAGTGGGTGAGGCTGGCCAGGAGGCAAGGATGCGAGGAGGTTGAGGGGTAGCTCGAGAGGGAGACCCTCCCAGGAGTGGGGTGGGCTGGAGGGCGCCCTTAGGGCGCCTTAGCCGGGTCAGAGGCCTCTGGAGGGACTGCACGACGGCTGCGGGTGACCCGGCCGGAGGGAGCGGAGACAAAGAGGCCGGAATCCCGCAGCCGCCCTTCCTTCAGCTGAGAGCTCTGCGTCCTCGAACCGGCAGCACCTGGAGCCCCTGGCCGGCACCCGAGCTCATTCTTAGGAAGCCGGTTACTACTGGTCCTCGGACTCCATCTCTCCAACGCAGTGTGACTCTCCCCAAACCCACTCGGTCCTCGCTTTGGAGCCAACAGTGGTTTCTCTCCTTGCTTGAGGTTTTCCAACAAGTTGTGCCCGAATTCTTGCTGAGAGGCTACTACTTCTACGAGGGGAAAACAAAGACTCGAGATTCTGGACGTGATTTTTGCCTGGGGTGGGCGTTGGGAGTTGTGCAGCCCGAGGGGGCTGGGCGGACGCAGAAGGCCTCGGGAAGGACTGCGGCGGTGTTTGGGGAGATCAGCTGCGACCAGCTGGACAGAGGCTTTTTGTTGCCTTCAAGCAGGATAGTGACTTGCCTTTAGAGCCTCTCGAGCTCCAGCTCACCTGTATGGTTCGGACTGACTATGCAGCATTGGTCAGGGGAGTTAAATGGGATCAGATTTGAAGGAGGTGGGAGAGGAGCGGACAGTACTTTTATTCTCTGCTGCTTCCTGGGGCTGCTCTGGAAGTCATCCAGAAAAGCAGCTTCTGCAGTCTTTTTACTGAAGATTGTGCTACCTCAGAAGGCCACTTGGATCATATAGGAAGGGAGACCAGTTCTGGAAAGACTTTTAGACATATGAATATATTCCTTCTGATAGTGCCATCTTTCTCTGTCCTAGGAAGAAACTCTCCTTACAGAGAGTGTCATCTGCAGGTGGACATGGGAAGATAGATGTAAGCTCTGGAACCCAGACTCTTAAGTGGAGGGAAGCTGCTTTCTGCTGTGAATGATGGCCAAATCTTCCCTGAGAGAGAATAGCCCTAACTCTGAGACATTCCGACAGCGCTTCAGGAGATTTCATTACCAAGAGGTGGCTGGGCCGCGGGAGGCTTTCAGCCAACTCTGGGAACTTTGCTGTCGGTGGTTAAGGCCCGAGGTGCGCACCAAGGAACAGATTGTAGAACTGTTGGTGCTAGAGCAGTTCCTGACCGTCTTACCTGGGGAGATCCAGAATTGGGTACAGGAACAGTGTCCAGAAAATGGAGAGGAGGCAGTGACTCTGGTGGAAGATTTAGAAAGAGAGCCTGGAAGACCTGGACCTTCGGTGAGAAGGGAGGGGGAATTCAAAAGTGTGATACTGGGAAGGGGCAAGGGTGGAGGGCTAAATTAATAGACCGGTTTAAAGAGGGACACAATCTCCCTTGGTGATGCTTATACTTCTGGTCTGGTATAAGTAACTTTTTCAGATAGTGCTTGTCTGGAGATGCTACCTAGGTGTACTTCACCTACCCTGTCATAATGAGTTTTTGCTAGTTTTATAGTTTCTTAATAAGGAAGAAGGAGGATTTTGTTTTCAGCCTGTAGTTGGGTTTACTGTTTTGATCGTTTCCTTCTGGAGTTTCAGCTGCTTTAAGCTAATGGTAATGGAATAAGACCCTTGTTCACTTTAACCTCCCCCACCCCTAAAATCCTGGCCATGGCCCTGAAGGATGATCTCTTTTGGGGTATTAAATAATCTCCTCTGGGAATGCCCCCTCATTATGACTTTGCAGTGACAATTAACGGGGGTTGTTTCCAGGTCACAGTCTCTGTGAAGGGGCAGGAAGTGCGCTTGGAGAAGATGACACCCCTGAAATCATCACAAGAGTTATTAAGTGTTCGGCAGGAGTCAGTGGAACCCCAACCCAGGGGCGTACCCAAGAAAGAGAGGGCAAGAAGCCCAGACCTGGGACCACAGGAGCAGATGAACCCAAAGGAGAAGCTCAGACCTTTTCAAAGGAGCGGTGAGGAGTAGATTCATACGGGCAGATAGAGTGCCATTCCAAGTTGGGAAGTAGGGTTGGGGCTAGTGAGTGGGAAAGGGATTTCAGGAATAAGTGGAAATTGTAGAATATGTGGTTGTTGACATGTAGTTTAGCCCTCTGGTATTCTTTTATTACCTCTTGATAAGTCAACTGGAGAATGGCTCCCTAGTTTTTATCAGAACTTGGAATTACTTCCTCTCGGTAATGATGATAGGTCATTATTTTCTAGGTAAAAATTCTCTTCTATACTTGAAGGCATATCTTCCTTTCGGTTGTTTTCCTACTTCAAATTAAACTCTATTTGTTTCCTTAAGCTTTCCCCTAGAAGATCCATTCTTTAAACCTAAGTTTTTGTTGCTTTCTATTGGAAACTTTAAGGTCTCCAAGTATGTCAATTGTGGAGAACTAATTTATGTATATTATTCTCGTGAAAGTCCGTTAGAAGCTAAGTAACAATTTTATTTCAGAATCTTGCAACAGCTTGTATCAATATAGCCCAACCTGTGATTATGTAATATTTTTGTTCACCTGGTAACTTCCAGGATTCTGATAGCTTTCCCCAGTGCCTTTATACCTGCTTGATTATTCTAGTACTTGATTTTGTAGAACTTGTTTTTCTTCTTTGTATTCTATTGATCTCCATGTTGTATGCTTTTTTCTCTTACCATTTCACTTAAAATTTGTTGAGGTTGTTTTGAATTGTGGTAATATCATCTAAGATGATAGCTCTCTCAGCCAGTTTGGTAATGGTCTCTCTGTTTAGTGATGCAGATTAAATCCCTGAATCTCACAGACTTTCAAAGTTCATTAGTTTTGGAACACCTATCAAGGTGCTCAACACCTGCAGGATACTCTGCAATAAAAAAATGTGCATATCCTCAAAGAACTTAAAAACATCTTGAGAACCACAATGGCTAACTCTTAAGTATGTGCTGAACTGAACTGTACTGAAACAATGCCAATGACTCGATCAATTGTGTGAGTACTGTATGGGTTTGGCAGAGTGGGAGATGAGGGACGGCTGTAGGTAAGGCTTCTTGAGGGCATTGGCAAATACAGCCTCTTGAAGGACGGGCTGAAATTGGATAAGAGAGAATTAAAAGCCACAGAGGGGTGATAAAAGTGTGCTGTGTTCTGGAGGAAGAGTCTGACAGGAATGGGTATGGCAGACACTAAGGTTAAGGCTCAGCAGGGTAAAATGTATGCTGAGGAAGCAGAAGCCTGGAGTTACGAAGAACAGTGACTGCTGCAGTTACCTGGTATGAGAGGATAAGGAGTTTGGACTTGGATGGTGGCAGTAGTTCTAAACATAAACACCTTTAGAACTTGGTGACTGACTGTGAAGGAAACAGATAAAGACAGTCTTCTCTCACTCCCCCCTTGAAATCACTCTGAGTTTAATTCTGAAGCCCCAAGTGAAAAATAATTATTTCCAGCAGTACTAGGACCTGCCTACAAATAGGAGAGCTAGGGAACAACTTGGAATAGAATTATCTGCTCTGAACACACAGACTCCTTTCCTCTCTTGTCACCCTGCTTTGGAAAATAGAACATTTCTCATCTTTTGAGGTATCCTGTATTTTCCGCACCTTTTTTAACCCATTGAACTTTCTGAAAACATTTCCCTAGACACTTTATTTATAATCCTCTTGGATGAAAAAGGCAGGACTGAATTTCAAAGATTTTTGTGATAATCAGTCCTAACTAAGATACCCTTTGTTTGCTTCCCTGCAAGCAGGATTTCCATTTCTTAAATCCGGTGTGGTCTCCAGGTTGGAGCAGGGAGAGCCATGGATTCCAGATCTGCCAGGCTCCAAGGAGAAAGAACTTCCAAGTGGTAACTACATGGGAGACAGACGAGTGCTTGCTGATCTGTTACCATCCAAGAAAGATAGAAGAAGCTGGGTGGAACAGGATCACTGGGGCTTTGAGGATGAGAAGGTGGCAGGTGTGCACTGGGGTTATGAAGAGACCAGAACACTGCTTGCAATTCTCAGCCAGACTGAGTTTTATGAGGCCCTCCGAAACTGTCACAGAAATAGCCAGGTGTATGGGGCTGTGGCTGAGCGGCTCAGGGAATATGGCTTCCTCCGGACCCTGGAACAGTGTCGGACCAAGTTCAAAGGTCTCCAGAAGAGCTATCGGAAAGTCAAGAGCGGCCACCCACCTGAGACCTGTCCCTTCTTTGAAGAAATGGAAGCCCTGATGAGTGCTCAGGTCATTGCCCTGCCCAGTAATGCCTTGGAGGAAGCAGCCTCTCACTCTGGCCTGGTGGGCAGTGATACTGAGACTGAGGAGCCAAGGCAGGGAGGCTGGCAGCATGAGGCAGGAGCAGAAGAGGCTGTGGCTGAGGAGTCTGACAGTGATGACATGGATCTAGAGGCGATCCCCCAGGATTCCAATTCAACTGCACCTGTCCTGTTCAGAAGCCCAAGTGGTAAGAAGCTTTTCTTCTTGGGGTTTTGGAATTAGACTTGGGGAATGAAGAGACTGGATGTGGGGTCAGAAGGCCTTAATGTCACATGCCAGCTTTACCACTTAGGGAACAAAGAAGTGCTTCTCAATTTTATATGTGTATTTAATTCTCTTTTATGGAAAAATCAGTGAGATAATTGGGAATAAATATAGATTTCTAAAGAAATACACTCAGAAAATCCACAGTCCTGAGATGGAATATCATTTCTTCACTAAATTATTTTTTCCCTGATTTAAAAATCATTGCGGGCTGACAAAAATGTGGCACAATATTATCTTTAGGTACAACCAGTATTTATTGAGTATGTTATAGGAACTTGATGCTTTACAAATATATATGCGTGCGCGCACGCACACACACATTTTTTTCTGAGATAGAATCTCACTGTGTCACCCAGGCTGGAGTGCAGTGGCAGTCTTGGCTCACTGAAACCTCTGCCTCCTGGGTTCAAGCGATTCCCCTGCCTCGGCCTCCCGAGTAGCTGGGATTACAGGCGTGCACTACCATGCCTGGCTAATTTTTGTATTTCTAATAGACCTGGGGTTTCACCATGTTGGCCAGGCTGTTCTCGAACTGGCTGGTCTTGAACTCCTGATCTCGTGATCCACCCGTCTTGGCCTCCGAAAGTGCTGGGGGTTATAGGTGTGAGCCCCCACAGCTGGCCTTTTTTTTTTTTTTTTAAGACAGTTTTGCTCTTGTTGCCCAGGCTGGAGTGCAGTGGCATGATCTCGGTTCACCACAACCTCCGCTTTCCAGGTTCAAGCAGTTCTCCTGCCTCAGCCTCCTGAGTAGCTGGGATTACAGGTATGCGCCACCATGCCCAGCTGATTTTTATATTTTTAGTAGATATGGAATTTCACCATGTTGGTTAGGCTGGTCTCCAACTCCTGACCGCAGGTGATCCACCCGCCTCAGCCTCCCAAAGTGCTGGGATTAGAGGTGTGAGCCACCTGTAAAATATGTAAAGCCCAGCCAATGCTTTACATATTTTATCTTTTACTTCCCCAAATCTCAAAGTCAGTTTATTTTATTCATTTTTACTTAGAGTAGCACAGTGAAGAATTGTCCAAAGTTGGGGAAACATTTTTTTTATTTAAAAAATTTAAAATACATTTAAAACAGAGACAGGGTCTTGCCATATTGCTCAGGCTGGTCTCAAACTCCTGTTTTCAAGCAGTCTTCCCACTCAGCCTTCCAAGTAGTTAGGACTACAAGTGTGAGCCACCACACTCGGCTGGGAAACATCTAATTTTCCTCTGAAATTCATAGTATACATTAGCATTTTAACAGGATTGGGAACTCCTACAGTGAGAAAGCTTAACACTCTGTATTGAAATATTTTTGCCTATGAAATCCTTTTTAAAGTTATCACTTATTACTGTTAATGTAATTGGTACAACTATGCTGTTATGGAAACAGCACCAAAATATGATTCAGGAGGTATAGATTCTAATTCTGATGACCACTAATCAACTAGGAGATCATGAGTAATTATCTAACCGTTCTAAGCTTCCATTTCCTCAACCATAATATGTGGCATAGCAGGAGGACTACATCGCTAAAGTTGCAGTCCCTTTGTGAGCTGTGGTCTTTTCCTTTTATTTTTCATTATATGTGTGATCTTGCTTTAGTTCTCTTCTAGTTTTCTGGTCTTTGTGTCCTCTGCTTTTTCATTTCTCTTTTTCTTGTTTTCTTCATTGAGTTTTTCCTTTTTTGTTGTGGATACAAATATATGTAGGCTAACTGAACATGGCACATGTGCTAAATGTTATTTACACTCTGTCATCCAGGCTGGAGTGCAGTGGTGCGATCTTAACTCACTGCAACCTCTGTCTCCTTGGTTCAATCTTGATTCTCATGCTTCAGCCTCCAAAGTAGCTGGGACTATAGGTGTGCGCCACCACACCTGGCTAATTTTTCTGTATTTTTAGTGGAGATGGTGTTTCACCATGTTGGCCAGGCTGGTCTCAAACTCCTGGCCTCAAGTGATCCGCCCAGCTTGGCCTCCTAAAGTGTTGGGATTACAGGCATGAGCCACTGTGCCTGACCAGCTTCTTTTTTATATGGCTAAACAGAATTTATGAATAAAGGTCTCTGTGAAATTGCTTAAGGATCTAAAGAAGCAAAACATTCTATAAGGAGTTTGTGGATTTTTGAAACATTAAGTATTTTTACTTTCTCATCTAGGAGCCTGAGCTTAGCTGAATTCTCATGATGCAGATGATAGGACTGAGGAATTCAGGCTGTAAAGCTCTGGATTAAGTGGTGCTGAAATTTCTCTTCTGGTGGCAGGTGTACACTGGGGCTATGAAGAGACCAAGACTTACCTTGCAATTCTTAGTGAGACCCAGTTTTATGAAGCCCTCCAGAATTGTCACCGCAACAGCCAGCTGTATGGAGCAGTGGCTGAGAGGTTATGGGAATATGGCTTCCTTAGGACCCCGGAGCAGTGTCGGACCAAGTTTAAAAGCCTGCAAACCAGCTATCGTAAAGTCAAGAATGGCCAGGCACCAGAGACCTGTCCCTTCTTTGAAGAGATGGATGCTTTGGTGAGTGCCCGGGTTGCTGCCCCACCCAGTGATGGCCAGGAAGAGACAGCTTTTTGCCCTGTCCAGGGGACCAGTAAGGCTGAAGCTCAGAAGCAAGCTGAGGAGGCAGATGAGGTCACAGAGGAAGATTCTGATGATGATGAAGAGGATACTGAGATACCCCCAGGGGCTGTTATAACCCGTGCTCCAGTGTTATTCCAGAGCCCCCGTGGTAAGATTCTTTCATGATTATGGTTTGAATTAACAAAGGGAAAACAGTGGGTTTGAGGAAAAGTGTCATCAGATTGAGGAGAACTGGCCTCTATATCCAGCTTTCATGGATTCTTCTTGTGACCACCCATGTTTGTCATCTGTTAAAGCAGCTCACTGAGGGGATATGAAATATTTATGTGACTTGCCTCCCCACACCAGACCATCAATCTGAGATAGCTGCACATTGCAAACTTGCTGTGATTTATTCATGAACTGGCTAGGTTTCCAGCCAGTTTACCGAGCAGGGAATCTAAAGCTCACATTTCTCAAGTAGCATGTCAAATACCCATAGTAGGATAAAGTTAATTTTAAAAGTTCATTCTCTTTTATGTAAGGTTTTCTTCTAGTGTCAGCCTATGTACCAGCTGTACATCTGCTTTATTCACATTTATGAAAACCTGCTAACTGTTCAGGTTCCTGAGAGAACTGACCCTTTGAATCTTAGCCACTAGATAAGGTCTTCCCTCGCAAGAAGAGTTCTGACTTCAGAGTCATATATGTTTATGTATGTGAATCTGGGCTCTGGTTATTAGCTAAGTGACTTAGTGAAAGTTACTTAACGCCAGGCTTGGTGGCTCATGCCTGTAATCCCAAGCACTTTGGGAGGCCGAGGCAGGTGGATCACCCGAGGTCAGGAGTTGGAGACTAGCCTGCCCACATGGCAAAACCCCATCTCTACTAAAAATAAAAAAAATGAACCAGGCATGGTGGCAGGGACCTGTAAGCCCAGCTACTTGGGAGGCTGAGGCAGAAGAATCATTTAAACCTGGGAGGTGGAAGTTGCAGTGAGCTGAGATTGCATCATTGCACTCCAGCCTGGGCAACAAGAGTGAAAATCTGTCTTTTAAAAAAAAAAAAAAAAAAGTTACTTAACCCCCAAGTTTGCTTATATATTAAGACCTACCTCATAGAGTTGATATAAATGAGGTACTCTGCACAGTGCCTGGCACATAATAGGCATTCAATAAATAATAGTTTTCATTTTCATAAGTCTTTAAGATGAGCATTCTTTAAGGGTATTCCATGGAATGTCAATTCCATGGGGTATTAATATATTCTACTAAAAAATAGCTTGTAGGTTTGGGAAGATGGTAAATACCCCTCTTGGAGGCTCACAATACATATTCATATATTTAAGGTTCTAAGATTTATTTAATCTAGTGAATATTTCATGAAATGTAAGATTAGGCTTCTGAGTGGAAATACTGTCTCAGGAGATACAAACATGGGCTGATACTCAACGTGTTTTTGCTCCTAGATTTAGTCCCAGGAATATGGGATTCAGAGTTTACCTGAAATATCTGAATGCAAATGCAAATTTGCATAGCCTAGGCCCAAAGAAGCCAGGCATTTGGTTCTTAAGGCCTTTTGGTTCTTTGAAAAACTAAGTATTTTTCTATCCTCTTTTTATTTCCAATGTATATTGGAATGTGAGGGGAAGGAGACTCATGAAGCTCCTTCTGAATATAAAAGTTTCCGTTTCCAAAAATGTTTTCCTAAGCATGTCCTTCTAAATCTTCTAGTTACTGGCAAAGAGAACATGAATAAGAATACTCTGATAGACCTGAGATGTGGCAAAAATACGTATTAGAAAGTGTCTTTCCTATAGAAACATGGAAATTATCTAAAACCTAGTGAGTTTTCCATGCTGTACTAAGAGGATTTTCCAAAGATCTTATGTGACCAAGAGGAGTTAAAAGTATATATTAATGAGACCCTATAGAGATGAGAAGCACATGACAGGTTACCAAGCAGAGAAGTAAAACATTGGGATTTTAAAAAGATGATGGTAGTTATTTGGGATCTAGGGCTTCCTAATTTTTATCTTTAATTATCTGATGTAATGCTTGTTTTTCCCAAGTTTTACATTCCCAGGACACATATAATTAAGGAAATAGATAACTTCTAAAATTCTATTTTACATTAGGTTTTGAAGCTGGATTTGAGAATGAAGAGAATTCAAAACGGGATATTTCTGAGGAAGTACAACTGCATAGGACATTACTTGCAAGGTCTGAAAGGAAAATTTTCCGGTATCTTAATCAAGGTAAAGGCAATGAAAGTGACTGTAGATCAGGAAGACAGTGGGAAAAGACCCCAGGGGAGAAAAGAAGAAAACTGACACTCCAAGAGAAGGGTTTAAGTGAAGTCCTAAGTGAAGAGAAACCTTGCTTGGGAGAGAGACCCTATAAATATCTCAAATACAACAAAAGCTTTGGTCCTAATTCCCTTCTCATGCATCAGGTATCCCACCAGGTAGAAAATCCATATAAATGTGCTGATTGTGGGAAAAGTTTCAGTCGGAGTGCACGACTTATTAGACACCGGAGAATCCACACTGGAGAGAAACCTTATAAATGTCTTGACTGTGGAAAAAGTTTCCGTGACAGTTCAAATTTCATCACCCATAGGAGGATCCACACAGGAGAAAAACCTTATCAGTGTGGTGAGTGTGGGAAACGCTTCAATCAGAGCTCAAGCCTTATCATTCACCAGAGAACCCACACAGGAGAAAAGCCCTATCAATGTGAAGAGTGTGGAAAAAGTTTCAATAACAGTTCTCATTTTAGTGCACATCGGAGGATACACACAGGAGAGAGACCCCATGTGTGTACTGACTGTGGAAAGAGCTTCAGTAAGAGTTCTGACTTACGTGCACATCATAGAACCCACACAGGAGAGAAACCCTATGGGTGTCATGACTGTGGCAAGTGTTTCAGTAAAAGCTCAGCCCTTAATAAGCACCGAGAAATCCATGCACGGGAAAAGCTTCTGTCACAGTCAGCACCTAAGTAAGCCCCTGAGGATAATAAAGAGGCTCAATAAATGTATTGTTCAGAAGTCTTCCAAAAGTGAGATCCATCTCCTATTCTGTGTCCAGCTAGCTTAGGAAATTTTCTTTAGGCTTTATGCCACTGTTTGTTCCTTGTTTTTCCTGATCTAGAGTCAAATCCCCAAGGCACTCTAAAGAATGAAGGGAAAATTTCAGTCCCTCTCTTTGCCTGCATCTGAATTGATGGATAACATCTTTTCCTTCAGTGCCTATGGTGTTCCCTTAATAAAGTAAAGACAACATGGTAGTAGATCCTATGAATTTGATATGTATCCTTCTTTATTCATTTTGTCATTCAGCTGCATTTTGACAGGAAAAACCCATTACATTTCAAGAAGTTGTTGTGAGACTTTGCCCATTAGGTAAGGGTCTAGCTCTTAGGTTTTTTTTTTCTGACAAGATGGAGTCTTGCTCTATTGCCTAGGCCGGAGTGCAATGGCATGATCTCAGCCTACTGCACCCTCCACCTCCCAAGTTCAAGCAATTCTCCTTCCTCACTCTCCCAAGTAGCTAGGATTATAGGCACCTGCCACCATGCCTGGCTAATTTTTGTATTTTTAGTAGAGATGGGGTTTCACCATGTTGGCCAGGCTGGTCTCGAACTCCTCACCCTGTGACCTGCCCGCCTCTGCCTTCCAAAGTGCTGGGATTTACAGGAATGAGCCATTGTGCTCGGCCTAGCTCTTCTTTATACAATAATTGGAAATGCTAGAATGAATGACTCTTTCTGTTCACTTAAACCTGTGTTCAAAATGACAGCTTTGTCAGGCATACTCTTAATTGACCTTGAAGGAAAGTTTAATGTCCATCTTGGTTCTGCTCTGTGAATCATCTTGTCTATAACCAGGTGTTCTTAGGCAGAAACAATGAAAACTTTATACCAAAGTGTGAACCCTGGATTTCTTAGTTTCTTCTGAGTCTTAGAAGAAGGGTTAGAGTAATACATTTACAGGATTTCGTTTGGTTTTCTTTCTGTCCAGTCTCATCTGATTTTCATCTGTGCCTTGTGGTCCAGAAGTCCACAGAGCAACGCAGCTGGATGTGGTGACAGTTAAAGCAGTTAAAGCTGCCAGCAGGGACTTGTCTATATTCCACACACCTAGTATAGTGTTATGCCCTCTGTGGGCAATCAGTACTTATCTGCAATAAGCAGAAGCCACTGCCATGTTCCCGTGTTTTGGGAAAATGAACTACTGTGTGTGAACAGCCCTTTACCCTAATGGCAGGGAAGATGGATTATCTTTGGCCAGTGTAGCTGCCAATCTACATATACACATTCAGGTGAACACAATTAAAAGCAATTCTTTAAATGCAAATGTAATTACTCATCTTTATAAAAGTATTGAATTAACTGCCCGTATCTTCGTATTATGATCAGTCCTGTATAGCACAAGGTAAAACAGGTCCTGTCCTTGTCCTTACAACCTAAAGCAGATGATACTGACATGGACAAGTACTGCATATGCATAGCTGCAGCAGTTATAGAGAAATCTAGAAAGCTAGGTAGTAACACTATGCATAAATGCATGGTCCAATGCATTAGAGTTTGCTGTAAGAAAAATCCAGGAGCTATTTTCTTCTTTTTATTCAGGAAGGCTTCATGAAGCAGGAAGTGTTCAAACAAGGGAAGCTTACTGGTTACATTAGGGTAGGAAGAACTTTCCATAACTAGTTGAAAAATTTAGTGGTGGGTGGGTTGAGGAATGGGAAAATGGGGGAGCAAGGTGTTTTGTGTAGATGGAACAAAGAGCAAAGGATAGACTATACGGAAGGCTAGATAAAGTTTGGAGCAGCATGGAACTCAAGGAAAAGTATGATAGTGGCTATGCATCAGGCAGAGAGAATCACCTTAGCTGAAACATGGGTGCTAGGGGCAGACCATGAGGTGGTACACCCATCATCTCTAGTTAAATCAGGTACTGTGCTATAACTATTGACAAGCTAACAGCTGACTGGCACTGGAAAGAATGAGCAGTTTTAGGGGACTAGCTCCTATGGGAGACAAAGGTCAGAAATCATAGTATCTGATGAAGATATTTTGAAGGGCATGTGAGAAGGAAGATAAAAATGGCCAGATGGCCAAGGCCTGGGATAAGTAGCTGTTTCACATTTAATTGGAATCCTGTGGCTGGAGTAAGACAGCATTAGGAAGATATAGTATTCTATAATTTATAACGTTGTGTTAGAAATTAATTAGGGTTCTGTTGCTATTAGTATAAAAAAACTAATATTTATTAGGAATTAAAGGAAGATGGTACCTCTGTTATGTTGCCTAAGGAGACAGGAAGCTACAAGAAACACCAGTCTGAAGCAGTGCCTCAGGATCTCAGATGGTTTAGGAAGTATGTGGTAATGTCAAAAAAAAAAAAAAAAAAAAAAAAAAAAAAAAAAAAAAGATTACTGTCTTTAGTATATCTATGTATAGTCTTGTGGGAAAAACATTGGTTGGGGTATCAACAGATACTCTGGTTCCGGATGTCTTGTGTGTAAGTTAAACTGCCTCCATTTCCCTTTCTGTAAAGCAAAATGTTTACACCTAATCTGCTTCTCAGGGATACCATGTTAATAAAAATTATGTCTATAAAGTGCCTGGTGTTTCTTCGAGAGAGAGAGAGAGAGTGTGTGTAATACAGGCAAATTATGATCAGGTTGTGGATGGCAGGAAAAGATCAATCTTAACTTTCTTTTTTTAAAGCGCCCTATGTGGGATTATTAGAAGTATCTTTATCTGAATCTTTATATTCTAGAAAAAGGAATAATTCAGATTGTGGTAAAAGAGAAATTAGAATGCATATCCTTCCTTTGTACCTCTACCCATATCCACAATAAATTAGGACCCAAGATAACTGGGCATGCAGAATCTTATTTTTTAATAAGTTTTAAAAATTTATTTTTTAGAGACAGGATCTCACTCCGGCTATAGTGCAGTGGTGCCATCATAGGTCACTGCACCTTCAAACTCCTGGGCTCAGTGCGATCCCCAGCCTCCCCAATAGATGGGACTATAGGCATGAGCCAAGACAGTCAGCTAATTTTTTAAATTACTGAATTGATGGGGAGTGGGGGTCTCTTTATGTTGTCCAGACTGGTTTTGAACTCCGGGCTTCAAGCGATCCTCCTGCCTCAGCCCCGCAAAGTGCTGGGATTAAAGGCATGAGCCACTGTGAACAACTCAGCTGAGGCTTTAAAGACCCAGAACCAACCCTCAAAACTCCAGATGAAAAGAATGGAATGTGCAGAAGGAACACTGCAAGGGCCAACTTGCTTACCAGGTGAAAACCCAGTTCATGTCAAACTACCTCACAATAATTACATGCTGCCCAACCTGCCATTCCACAGATAAAAGCAACAAATATCTTCAAACATTCTGAGAAAGAGAAACCAAGCCCACTGTTAGGGGAGCAAGAGCATCTATGCACCTAACATAAGGAAAGTCTTTGTGGAAGACATGGGGTAGCATGTGCAGCAAAGGAAGCAAAAAATGTATATTAGCCTTTCCTAACCTTATGCTAGTAATTCCAAAGCAAATCAAAATGAGACTTTGATTTCCCTGAGGTTTATGATTACTAATGGGGAAGGACTGCTGAGTCAAAATAATCACTGGTGGACTGGGGATTTAATTAGCAACAGTCAGGTACCATCCAGTAAGCACCTGAGAGCTTGTGAGTCTAAGACATATTTACTGAGCATCATGTGTAAGGTTGCTGATGATGGAGCCCATGGAACTTGGCTGCTATGCTTCAAAGAAATGGTGGCCTGTTTTACTAAGTGGGATATGGCAGGAACACCTTGATTCAACATACTCAGAAGTAGTTCACCTCATTACAGCTTAGAAGTGTAACACTCTGGGCTTCAGGTGATTCCATTTCTTCCTTAGTTCAGATCTGGTGATGTCAGAAGCAAAGATGTAGTTGATGGATTCATAAGAGAGATCACACACCTGAGACTGTGTCAAATTAAATGTTTCAGCTGCCAGCTGGTACTCTTGAGAAAGATGTGTTGCAAAAACACCCTTATCATCAGTCTGCCAATGTAAACAAGAACATTTCAAAATGAAAAAAATGATTTTTCAAAAAATAACCACCTTTTTGTTCAGTCTATTTTTCCTATTTACTATACTTCTTTCAAGAGTCTAAACAAGGGCCTATAAATTTATCTATGCATATCTGTAACTAAACAGACTTATACTTTAAGATACCAGAACAGTGTTTCAACTCTGGCTGTATATTAAAATTACCTAAGGAGCTTTCAAAGCCTATCTATGCCCAGGACTCACCCCAGATCAAATAAAGCAGCAAAATCTTATGGGATGGTTGCAGAGCATCTGTTTCTTTTTTTGTTTTGTTTTGTTTTGAAGTTCTCTCAAGTACCTTTTGCTATAGAGCCAATCCAGAGCCATCCTGGCCCTCTACAGCCTCTCATGTACCAGTCCCTTTTTTTTTTTTTTTGAGATAGAGTTTCACTCTTGTCCAACCTGCAGTGCAATGGCACGATCTCCACTCACTGCAGCCTCCACCTCCCAGGTTCAAGTGATTCTCCTGCCTCAGCCTCCCAAATAGCTGTGATTACAGGCATGCATCACCACACCCAGCTATGCCCCACTCCCTTCTAACTCCTCTACTTGAGCATTATCCTCAGGCATGCAAGGCAGTCAGCTAGTGAACATCTGACTTAATGCAACTCAGAGAGCAAAAAGGAGCAAAATATTTTACACAGAACACCTTACACAGATCACAGAAGGATGGGCAATGCTGTACCAGAATCTGAAATGGTGCTGGTCATAAGATGGAACTGTCCGACTTTTGACGTTTGAGGTCAAACAGAGTTCTATATGGAAAGGGGGGAAAATCTTATTAAAAGCAAATAAGTGAATTCATTCAATGTTCACCAAATAGACACATGAGAAATCTTTCCCAATTTTGCTAATTCAAAGTAGTTTATTAGTTTACAAAGTCAATCTTTCCTTACGTGTGAAAATTTGTATTTCAATTAGTGTAGCTGTACAGGAAGTATGTGCTGCAACTAATGGCAACAGTGCTACCAGGCAAGGAATTAATATGCCTTTCAAAGCCATGCACTTCTCCTTCTTTGACCAAAATAGGAAGGAGGAATGTCATAAGCCAGTCATAATGAAAAAGGCAGGGAATTATCATGATAGGAGAAGGGTTTTTTGAAAAGCTACTGCAATCCCTCCTGGTCTAACGGTGGAAGCCAAAACAAAGGTAAGAAAACTGTAGCACTGCATGAGAGTTAGAGCATTATAAAGCACTAAGAATGAGCAGGGACTTTGCCATGGCTTCTAAGAACCCCTAAACACTTTCACCCAGACAATCATCCATTCACCTCCTTCTGCTTATAGGTAAGTTAAGACCATCTTTTTTTTTTTTTTTTTTTTTTTTTGAGACGGAGTTTCACTCTTGTTACCCAGGCTGGAGTGCAATGGCGCTGTCTCGGCTCACCACAACCTCCACCTCCTGGGTTCAGGCAATTCTCCTGCCTCAGCCTCCTGAGTAGCTGGGATTACAGGCACATGCCACCATGCCCAGCTAATTTTTTGTATTTTGAGTAGAGACGGGGTTTCACCATGTTGACCAGGATGGTCTCCATCTCTTGACCTCGTGATCCACCCGCCTCGGCCTCCCAAAGTGCTGGGATTACAGGCTTGAGCCACCGTGCCCGGCCAAGTCCATCTTAAGAATGACTCCTACTATTAACACATTCCTTCCTGGAAACATTACCAGGCTCCCTAGCCAGAGCAAAATACCTTACTGATTTGATTGATGGCATCTGCTCACTTGAGTAAGGCAGCCTCAACACAGGCTTACTCAGTTTAAGGGATGACAAACCCAAACTGCCCCCTTACTCTGCTGGGAGCAGAGCTAGGCCACCACAACAAGTAAGATCACTATGCAAGTGGTTCCCACTCTCTCCACTTTTGCAGATATTTAAATTTTTCCTTAGTTTTAAAAGAAAATCTCACGCATTATGAATTACTGAAACTTTTATAGTTAAAACACTCACACAAGCATTTTTATAACTTGGTAAATTTAGCAAATTCATCATTCTGTAAAATGGTATGCAGCCAACCACTTTTTCCTTCTTTAGAAAGTCCTTTCCTAAATATCCAATCCAAAGTGGTTATACAATCACTAATGTATCAGTTTGTTTAATTTTCTTCCTAGAACACTAGTGTTTTCTTGTATATTGTTTACTGTCTTCCCTCTGCTAGAATATGACTGTCTTGGGAAAGAAATCTTGCCTGTTTTGTGTACTGCTCTATCAACAGCAATGACAGCAAAGTAGACACGTCATAAATACAATCAAGTGTGTAATGATTAACAGACATGTGAAAATATATTTGCGATTTTCCATAATGCTTAATTTTTAAATAATGTTACATGTTTTCATAACACATCAATTTTGTTTAAATCATTTCAAAGTTTTAGATGACCCTTTATTCCTTTAAAAAATTCTTACTGAGTTACACAGAGCTTGTATTACACAGAGCATGTATTTTAATGGAAGCTAAAGCTTTCTGCTACTTAAATAGGCTCAGAAAGCACAAATTCCATGCATCTTTTAATAGCTAGATGACATTCGTCTTTTTAGGACAGTACTTCTCTACATATGGGTTGCAATCTAGGGATTGGGGGAGGAACAGAGGGTTGTCTGGAAGACCTGAAACTCCAGACCTTACCCAGTGGTATCCGATGTTGCCTCACAAAGTCCACCAGATCTAGAGATCCTCCCTCACCAGAGTTGAGAAATGTTCCATGTCCAATTCTGTCAGGAAGGAGATCCAGGAGTATTTGTGTTTCTTTGTTTTGGTTTGGAATCTTAACAAAGAGGGGAAAGGGGGATCATCAGTGGCCTCTTTCAGTGGTTCTTAGAGTACCTTTTTTTATAGCTAGGTACCCTACCCCTCTGAGTAGTATTTAATGCAGACCTGGAAAACTGAACTACTTCTGCCTTCCTAGCTCTCTTGACCTTTTTATTTTCCCAATATTCTTCTAGATTCATTTCAATGATAGTAATACACACTTTGTGCCTTTTCACACAAATTCTTTAAGGTCTCACAAGAATCTTACAAGGTATTAAGATGAAGAAATTAAAGCTGAGAAACATTAATTTTCAAAAAAAAAAACTTCACAACTCTACATGCATATGTGTGCTCTGTGTTGTATACATGTGTTCATATATATTGTAAAAAGTTCTGAAAAAAGATAAACACGAAACTATTAACAGTATTAACTCTGGGGAGCAAAACAAATAGAAACTTGGCTTTTAATTTTTAACTCTTTTCCTTCTTGAGGCTTGGATTTTTTTTCAGGTATACATAACTCTTATAGTTAAAAATATGAAGCATTATTTTAAAAAAAGTTTTCCAAGGCCATAGAGCTAGTGAATGGTAGAGATAAGGGTGAAACCTAACTCAGTGTGACTGCAGGGCCCAGTTACTTTCCTCACATAGCGTGCTCATCATGTTTATTCTGACAAGGCTGGCTACCTACATACCACAGTCACCATCAAAATGTCTGGCTGTGCTCTTTAGCTCCTAGATAGCACAAAACAAAAATGCTTAAATTTTTAAATGAAATGTTTTCTATCCAATGGACTGTATGAGAAAAGCAAGAGAAACTAAGGTAAAGAACAAGTTCTGATGTTGTGCACAAGGCTAGAGATGTGCCTGTGTGCACACCGTCAAACATGCTGTTCCTTTAAAATGACCAGTGGTGTCCATCACGCATCAGTTAGGTCAGCCATAGGATGTCCTATGGGTGAAAGGTCTTTTGGGTTCGAGTGTGGAAACATGGATTCCAGATTTTAAGCCCTGCCAGTAGATTACTGACCCTCTGCTTACAGACATGAAAGATATAAGAGTACTGGCAAGAGGTTCTGATTTTCTTCCTCAATCTTTAAATCATGATGCTACTCAAACTTTACACATTACTCCTTTAATACAGTAACTCTGTGAGGTAAGTAGACTTAAGTATTATTTTCTGCATTTAAGAAACAAATAGAAGTACCGAGGTAAAAAATAAATCCATCTATAAAATGGGGAAAACTGCAGCAGAGTCCTTTGTTTGCCTCACAGGGATGTGCTAAAGAAAGTGACTACTTCCCAGCAATTATCTGTCACTATGTTCATGTTACCCGCAAGCTTGGGTCTTATAAGAGGCACTAGAATTCTTAGCCAGGCTTTGTAAAGTGACACACTGCTTCCTTTATTGCCAGTTTATGTGATACAATCAAGTCCCTTCTACTCTGAGGACAGGTGAGATAAATTGGTGCTTTTCTTAGAGTCAGCTTGCCAATGACAAGATTGATGTTGGAAATTCATACATTTTTCTCTAGCAAGATGTCATGAAGCTGCTTTTAAATGACAACTGGCATTTGAGTTAACAGCCACTCCGAAGAACCACAAAAGGATAAAAATAGTAGCACCAGAGACTAAAGCAAGTCATGTCTTTTTAAATTTAGATTTTAAAATATTTCTACTTTTCCTTTTTAAAAAATGTTTTTCCAATCCAGGTTTATTCCTAGTCACTTAGAAATGACTCTCTTATTTTCTATTATAATCTGTTCCCTCTAGCCTAAGAAAATATTTTTTACCTCTGAAAGATGCAATGCCAACTTCAGACCCGCTTTCTTAGCTTCTAAAAGAGGTTCCAAGAAGTCTTTTGCTTGTCCTACCTTTAAAAGTTTTAATGAGGAGGCATGAGAATTCTGGGAAAACTGAGGAATTGAGTTCTCCATTCCAGTAAACAAATAACATAATGGGAGAAAAAAATTATGGTAGATTAAATCATTTGCACATCTTGTTTATAAAACACCTACAATGTGCTAGCCACTTTGCTGAATACAAAGTTTGCAACAGTCCCTGCTCTCGAGAATCTTGTCTAGTATCAGTAAACTGAGGTCAATCAGCTAAGCTGGATATAGCAGTCACCAAATTTTATGCCTGGAAGGACACCTAGATATTCAGTGCTAAGGAGACCTCACTCACTTGATTCAGGAACCCTCATGATTATTCAAAATACCTCTGTTAAACGGATGGATAAAAAGAAGGGGAGTACATATAGTCCAGGTTTGGACAAAGCCGTAAGAATCAGTTTCATGGGACTCTCCTATTCAATGGTTTTCAACCAGGAGCAATTCTGCCCTCCAAGGGACATTTGGCAATGTCTGGAGACATTTTTGGTTGTCACAGATGGGAGAGTGCTACTGACAACCAGTGAGTAGAGGCCAAGGACGCTGCTAAACATTCTACAAGGCACGGGGCAGCCCCATAACAAATTATTCAGCCCCAAATATCAAGATTTCTGCTTCAATCTGACATTCAAGAAGCTCAGGCCAACATTTCTCAACTACCTATGAGACAGCTAAGCCCTAACACCCTAAGACATCCATTCATTGTATGTAATGAATTACATTATAGTGCATATAGTCTGGTACCAGTTGTGTACCATCTTCAGAAGAATGGAGAAAATAGTCATAGAGTCAGGCAACTCTTTTTTTTTTTTTTTTTTTTTTTAGGGTACTTAATTCGTTCACAGAACCTTGGATGAAAGCTGCTCTAGGCATTCTAGTCATCCAGGGCAGAACAGGCCTTCATCCACAGAGTGGAGTGTCTGCTGGACGCTATGGAGAATGCAGTGCAAGATGCCCAAAGCTAGTCCTTAACCCACTAACTGATTATACCTTTTAGAATTAAAATCTATGTAGGAAAAATAACTTACAGTAGGGTCTCCACTGAGGTCAAGGCCAAGAACTGTACCCTCAGTAGAAAGGAAGAACTCCTCGGCAAGTTTTACAGTCTCCTTGGCTACTAAAGGGCCACCTCTTCTGTCAATTGCTATCAAATACCTTTAACATAAGAAAGACGGAGCTGAAAACTAATATGATACAGATTTAAAAGACAATTGAGTGTGGCCAGAGATGGCAGATTACATATAATGCATCTCACTAGGAAAAGTAGAACCTGACTAAATCTAGACAACATGATATTTTACTTTGCCATACAGAGACACGAATTCCTAATAGCATCAAGAACCTAGTCAGTGTTCAGATTTCCAGTTGTCTTTTGAGTTTTTTTGTTCCTGTATTTGTTTCTTCAGTTTGTTTGATTCAGGATCCCAACAAGGTCCACACTTTGTGTAAATCAATGTATCACCTAAGCCTCTCTTCATCTACAACCACTCCTTCCTCTCCTCCCACCTCCCACCCTGCTTTTCTTGTAACTTACTTCTTGAAGAAACCAAGTTGTTTGTCCTACAAAGTTTTTCATGGTCTGGATTTTGTAGATTGTATCTCTGTGTTGTTAACATGTTTTCCTATTTCTTATATTTCTTACCTAGTGTAGAGGCAGATCAGATTCCATTTTTTGGCAAAAGTAAACTCAGAGGTAAACTGGTGGTGGTGTGTTTTTAGGAGGCTTAGATCCATTATTCCATTAGGGGTTACAAAAATAGTAACATTCTCATTATAAAATGTATCCAATATCTGATATAAGGTCATTCTTCAAATACTGGCTGTAATTTTATAGGACTTGAATACTCAAAGAATCCCTGTTAATATTTCTTTTTCTTTTTTCTTTTTTTTTTTTTTTTTTTGAGAGTTTGGCGCACCACCCAGGCTGGAGTGCGATGGCATGATCTCAGCTCACGGCAACCTCTGCCTCCTGGGTTCAAGTGATCCTTCTGCCTCAGCCTCCCAAGTAGCTGGGATTACAGGCGCCTGCCACCAGGTCCAGCTAATTTTTGTATTTTAGTAGAGACAGAGTTTCGCCATGTTGGCCAGGCTGGTCTCGAACTCCTGACCTCAGGTGATCCACCCACGTTGGCCTCCCAAAGTTCTGTGATTACAGGCATAAGCCACCACCGTGCTTGGCCTGTTAATATTTCTTGAATATCCAGAGAAGCCCTGTAATTTTTCTTCAGCAGTTATTAGCTTACTATTTATTCACAACATAAATTCCTTCAGTATTTGCTCATTTAAGTATTTACAAAATTTAGATCAACTATATATAAAATGCTGTATCTTTTTCTTCACTCAGCAACTTCCCATGCCTTTAAAATAATGTTAGAAATAGTACAAATCATATGAACATACCATAACGTAATTGTACTCTGAATGCTGGACATTTTAGGATATTTTCTAATTTTTGTTATAAATAACATCACAATATGGAATCTTATGCATAAATCAATCTATTTTCTAGGATACATTTCTAGCAGAGAATAACTGGGTCAAAGGGAAAACCTTTTTTTTTTTGAGACAGAGTTTCACTTTTGTTACCCAGGCTGGAGTGCAATGGCGCAATCTTGGCTCATCGCAACCTCTGCCTCCTGGATTCAGGCAATTCTCCTGCCTCAGCCTCCTGAGTAGCTGAGATTACAGGCACGTGCCACCATGCCCAGCTAATTTTTTGTATTTTTAGTAGAGACGGGGGTTTCACCATGTTGACCAGGATGGTCTCGATCTCTTGACCTCGTGATCCACCCACCTCGGCCTCCCAATGTGCTGGAATTACAGGCTTGAGCCACCGTGCCCGGCTTGGGAAAACCTTTTTTTATAAATCTTGACATATATTGCTCTTTAGAGAGGTTTTTTCCCCCTTACCTGTATATAAGTGCAGGATTTAAAGAGGTTTTATTAATTATATATGTTTACCAGCAGTGCATAACTGCACAAACACTGGTTATTACTTTTTTTTAGCCTATTGAAACAGCATTGTAATATAAGATTAGTGAGTTAGTTTTCTATGTATTTCTATACATTTACCAGTTATTTTTATGTCTTCTTTTCTGCATTCTATTCTTGTCTTCTGCTTGGTTTTTCACTGGGGTATTAGTCTAGTTAAGCTTAATTTTTAGAGTCTTATAGCCTGAAACTATACAGCTAGCTTTTTTCCTTTATTCATTCAGGGCTTTACTGAGCCCCTACTATGTACCTGCTTTGTAGTTAGTACTAAAGATGTAGTGGTGAATCAAAAAACAAGGTCCTTGGCTTCACTAAACTTACACTCTAGTGGGTGGGTATATATACAAAGGAAATAAACGAAATTTTATTTGGCTTTACTACACTTACATTCTAGTGGGTGAGCATATATACAAAGGAAATAAAGGAAAGAGGATTAGCAGGGCACTTTAGACAGAGTGGTAAAGGAAGGCTCCTCTGAGGAAGTGACAGCCAAATTGAGACCTGAAATATGAGAAGAAGCCAGCTGGGCAGGAATCTGGTAGAAATGTGTTCTGGGGGCCAGGCGCGTTGGCTCACGCCTGTAATCCAAGCACTTTGGAGGCCAAGGCGGGTGGATCACCTGAGGTCAGGAGTTCGAGACCAGCCTGACCAATATGGTGAAACCCCATCTTTAAAAAAAAAAAAGAAAATAAAAATAAAAATAAAAAAAGAAATGTGTTCTGGGAAGTACTAAACAAAGGTGCTGAAGGGGGACAGTCTTTCTTGCTTATTTTAGGAACAGACAGTAGGCCCACGTGTAAGGGAGGAGGAGTTGTCTAGATGAGCTGCTGACGTAAGAGAGGCAGCCAGATCACATGGGACCTTGTGGGCCACAGTAAGAAGTTCATTTTAGCTGAACAGCAAAGGAACACCATACTTTACTCAAATAAAAATACTCAGATTTTCACTGCCAAGTGAATAAATTCAGAATTGTGTTCTCACTTTCAACAGGGTTCTTGATTTTATTTTTCTATTGTAGAAATCAATTAATGATTAATTTTTAAAAATCCATTACACCCATGATGAAAACAGTAAAAATTCACATTCTGGTTTTGTAAATTTTAACTACTAAGGTACAATCTTCTTACCTAACATCAATGTCTAAGTTTTCTTGTTTGGACTGTTTTATACCTTCAAGTATAGATTCCACATAAATCTTTTTAGTCATTCCTGAAAAGGACACATAGAAAATACATGTAAAGAGATCATCAACTATTTCATCCTTCACCTTCAGTAATTCTACATAAACAATTACATTTTTACTTTATGCTATGACAAGAGCATGGTTAAAGATGAGTGAAAACATGGCTCTTACGGGTATATTTTAGTAAATGCAAATTATATTTTAATAAAATTGGGGGGAAATGAAGTACTAGAGAAATGAAATAAAAAAGATAAAGACTTTTTTTTTTTTTTTTTTTTTTTTTGAGACAGGGTCTGGCTGTCACCCAGGCTGGAGTGCAGTGGAACAATCTTGGCTCACTGAAACCTTTGTCTCTTGAGCTCAAGCCACCCTGCCACCTCAGCCTCCTGAGTAGCTGAGACTACAGGTGTGTACCACTGAGGAGGGAGACCCAGGCATTTAGGATTCCTTCCCCCTCTGTCACTTCCACTGTGCATCTCAATAGAAGAGAGAGCAGGTCAGCTGGCGCCTCCTGAATCTTCTTCCTGAAAACAACAGGCTAAGCCATAAGAAAACTTCAGAAGGCACTATTTTTACTTAAAACAAAATCAAACCAGAAACTTTTTCACATGTGAGTCCTAAAACTGTAAACCGAAACCCTTTCATATGTAACTCCTGAAACATTAAACAAAAACCTTTTCACATGTGACTCCTAAAACTGTGAACTGGAACCCTTTCTTTTTTTTTTTTTTTTTTTTTTTTGAGACGGAGTTTCGCTCTTGTTACCCAGGCTGGAGTGCAATGGCGCGCTCTCGGCTCACCACAACCTCCGCCTCCTGGCTTCAGGCAATTCTCCTGCCTCAGCCTCCTGAGTAGCTGGGATTACAGGCACACGCCACCATGCCCAGCTAATTTTTTGTATTTTTAGTAGAGACAGGGTTTCACCATGTTGACCAGGATGGTCTCGATCTTTTGACCTCGTGATCCACCCGCCTCGGCCTCCCAAAGTGCTGGGATTACAGGCTTGAGCCACCGCGCCCAGCAAACTGGAACCCTTTCACATGTAATTCCTGAAACTGTAAACTGAAACCCTTTAAAACTGTGAACTGAAACCCTTTCATATGTAAACAGAAACCTTTTCACATGTGAGTCCTAAAACTATGAACTTAAGATTCTTTCACGTGTAGCATCTAAAGTATAAGCCTATATAAAGGCTGAACCTCCCTTTGTTGGACGAGTTTTGCTATTAGGCACACATGCCAACAAAGCTCCCAGCTGTAATACATTCCTTCCTCCTGCAATAGGTGTCCAAGAGATCCTTTCCTGTGGTCGCTCCTGCTACATTTTTGGTGCATTGGCCAGGAAGCGAGTCTCAGATAGCAGACGGTGGGAAAAGTCTCTTAGGTGGTTTGCCTAGATGTGCGGAGCATCCCTGCAGGGGACTCCTGCTCGCTGAGGTGACGCATCCTGAGAGCACTCCCAGGCAGGTATTTGCCCAGTGGAAAAGCCTCACCAGAGCGAAGCAAGGAGGCCCTGCAGTGTCGATCCACCCAGTGGCTGAACACCGAGGAGGAATGAATATTTGGGGAAGTCTGGACACTAAATTTGGTAAGATTGAACACAGGAAAGTAGCCCACACCATTTTGGGTGGAAGCGTGGCCTGATCACCCACGGGTGCCAGATCGGCACGTTGGAAGGTAGCTCTCTGTAAGCTTGGAAGCTTTTGCTTATGGTTTTGAAATGGAGGGAGAGCAATCAGGTGTGTGTATTTTTAAGAGAAGCTTGAACTCGGGAAAGTAGCCCACCCCATTTTGGGTGGAAGCGTGGCCTAATCACCCATGGGTGCCAGATTGGCACGTTGAAAAGTAGCTCTCTGTAACCTTAGAAGCTTTTGCTTAGTTTTGAATTGGAAGGAGAGCAATTGAATGTGTGTCTGTGTGTATAAATGTGTCTGACCGGACTCATCAGTCGTAAAAGGTATCAGGCCCATTAGGAGGGGCCTCATGGGTCGAGCAATTTGTAAAAATTAGAGACAGCCACAAAAAGCTTGAGTGAAGGAGCCTCTAGGCGATTGCAAAAAAATTAAAGTGAATGTAAATCAGAAAGTGCTCTGTGCTACGTAGGAACGGGAACTGCTGTGAGTGAACTAGCATTCTCCTAGCTGTTAAGAATTGTTTCTGTAAAGCGTTAATATAGGTCACTCCCATAGTAAGCCCACCCCTTTAAAAACCATGCTAAAAAATTTCAAGAAGGGATTTAGTGGAAATTATAAAGTAACTATAACACCAAAAAAATTAAAAGTTTTATGCAAGGAAAATTAGCCAGCACTTAGAGTAAGTTAGCCCCCCCTAAAAACCCTAGACAAGTCCCTTGTCTCCAAAGTAAAGTATAAAGTTATATACGGTGAGCCAGAACACCTCGATCAATTTCCATACATAGACTCGTGGTTGCAGTTAGTGTTAAACCCTCCAAAGTGGCTAAGACAGCAAGTAGCAACTGTTTTAGTAGCCAAGGGACAGACTGCTAAAAACCACCATTCCCCTCGCCACTAAGAAACATGGAATCTCAAAGTCTAGGCAAATTCAGTAGCAGAGACAACTCCCAAAGTTTTAGTAGACCCAGCGGCAGAAGAGTTTTTGTTGATGATGCCTCCTCCTCCTCCTCAAGGACTCCCTGCCCTTGGGCCGGAGGCTTCAGCATCCCTACCAGAGCTGCACACCCCTAAAATCCTCCAAAGCAGACAAAAGAGAATGTGGAAAAACTCCGTCCATTGCTGCTCACTTCCAAGAGGGAACTCCCCCTCTGGCAGCTTGTCTGCAACCCAAGGCCAGGGTGCAGATGCCTTTAAGATAGCAGAGGTACACAGGAGTGGAAGAGGATGGCCACATGGTAAAAAGGTGTGTTTTGACGTACCTGCCGTTCACCTTGGCTGATCTTATCAATGAAAAACAACCCGTCTTATACCAAGAAACCCCAAGCTCTCAATCTACTGCAAACTATTATTCAGACTTATAACCCCATTTGCACTGATTGCCATCCTCTGCTTATACATCTTTTTTTAACACAGATAAAAGGCAGAGAATACTCCAAGCCACTTCTACTTGACTGGAGGAGCATGTTCCTGCAAATTACCAGAACCCCCAAGAGTATAGAAAAAGGGGGGTTCCTGGAAATTGCCACAGTCTGCCCGCCTAGGCCTGCAATGCGATCAGTGTGCATTCTGTTGAAAAAAAAAAAAAGACTCTAATAAAAGAAAAAAAAATGTCCACAGTTAACTGAAAAACAAGACAATCCTAAGCAGGAGGATCCAAATAAGCGTGAAGGGGCTCAGTTCAATCTAATGGAAGGGCCACTGGGCTAAAAGAGATGTGGGCTAGACTTATGCCCCCAAAGAGCCCATAGTCCAAATAACAGCCCTGTAACCCTCCATCAAAAGGAACAAGGCCAGTGTTGTTAAATCTATTAAGGTATTAAAAGAACAAACTTTCTTGTATTTAATAAATTGCCCCTGCCCCCCTTCTCCAGCAACACCTGTTGTGCAAATGGAGGGCCACTATCCCATTCAACAAAAAAGACTACCTGCAGCTAAAACTGCCTCAGTTGGGGGGTCATCCAGGCTCTCACTGTCCCTTAGGAAGGAGGGTGAAGATTTCCTAGCCAGAAGCAGAGGACTGATATTATTGCCCAGGCCAGTGCAGGGTTTGCGTGGCTTTGCACCCAACTTACACACGCAGTTAGGATTATTGCCAGCATCCGATAGTTGGTTCACTTAATTAGACTTAAAAAATACCTCCTTAGCATTGGACTGGCCTTAGAGAGTCAAAAACTATTTGTATTTCAATAGGAGAAACCCAGAATCGGGCATAACCACTCAATGCACCTGAACCCAGCTTCCCAGGGACTCAGAAGCTCTCTCATCATCATTAGGGAGGCATCAGCCCGTGATCATCCTCCAGAAGCTTCTTGCTTGCATGCTGCCTCCGTATGCTAATAACCTTCTATTAAGACACCCCACAGCAGTCGGGTGCACAAACAAATGCCTTACTTTGGCACCTGGAGGACTGTGAGTATAAAGTGTCTAAAAGGAAAGCCCTAATTTGCCAAAAAGCAAATGCAATATCAAAGGCTCACCATCTGGAAGAGGGAACGCAGCCTAAAAGCAGAGAAAAAGCAAGCCATTTGCAAAGTCACAAAACCTGAGACTAAAAAGCAGGTAAGAGAGCTCCTGGGAGCGGTAGGTTTTGTAAATTGTCAATTTCCAAACTTTGCAGTACTGGCCAAACCCTTACACAGTGACAGAGGGAAGAGGGGAAAAGATAAGACACCCTCCAAATGGGGCAGAAGCTAAAAGTAAGACTTCTGTTAGCCCTGGTTTTAGGGTTAGCCGATTTTAACACAGCCTCTTCATGCTCTCAAAAAAAAAAAAAAAAGAGAAAAAAAATGGCAATCAAAGATTCTAGCCTCAACTCTGGGAAAAATTTAAATATAAAAGCAGCCCACACAGCGGTGACTCTAAGGAATAACAAAAGACCTCATTGTTAAGCCTGCCAAATACCAGGGCCTGCTATGTGCAGTGGTTGTACAAGCCATACGTAAGACCACTTGTTTAGGTCAAGCGTCACTTGAAAAGATGCTGGGTCGGTACTTTTACTTTTTTTTTTTTGGGGGGGGGGGCGGGGGACAGAGTTTCACTCTTGTTACCCAGGCTGGAGTGCTGGAGTGCAATGGCGCGATTTCGGCTCACCACAACCTCCGCCTCCTGGGTTCAAGCAATTCTCCTGCCTCAGCCTCCTGAGTAGTTGGGATTACAGGCATGTGCCACCATGCCCAGCTAATCTTTTGTATTTTTAGTAGAGACGGGGCTTCACCATGTTGACCAGGATGGTCTCGATCTCTCGACCTCGTGATCCACCTGCCTCAGCCTCCCAAAGTGCTGGGATTACAGGCTTGAGCCACCGCGCCCGGCCCAGTACTTTTACATCTTACAGTTATCAGCCTCAACTAAAATTGTAGCACAGCAATGAATTCATTACATGTCGGCAACATA